AAAAGCCACTGAGGTTTGGGCACAGAGTGATGCTCGCAGATGAGACTGAGTGAGTTACGACATCACACGTTTCCTCTCCACTCAAACACACTCAGACAGACTTAATGTCTTTATATTTTATCCTCATCTTTCTGCCTCTTCATTGCTCCTGGCAGGTGGAAGAGGGTGGATTTTTATACCTTTGCAGTAACGAGGAGAATAATACCTCTCCTTTGGGTCTTTTCAGACATTTAGTCGCTCTTCTTCTAATAAAACCCAATGTGCAGCTTTGTCTCAAGCAGTTTCTTTTTTCAGTTTTAAATGGTGCTATATCGCTGATTCAGCATTCACCCTGTTGGATTCCTGCCTTTTTTTTCTGAATCTATTTTGCAGTCTAACTACTTCTGCATACCTTGAGCTATTTTAGCCATTTCTTAATGTCAGATCATTCAGGAGATGAGTGCTGGGATTTTGGGGTTTTGTAACTTTTATGCTTTTTAAAAAATAACTGCAGTTACAAATCATTACACCATAGAAATACTGAGAAATCTTGTTTTCTTAAAAATCTGCTTCAGCATATTGCACCATTTTTGGTTTCTTATGCTGCTTTTAGCTATAGGATACTGTGTTGTTTGTTTTAGCCTTTAATGTGCCTTTTTATGCTTTTAGTTTTTAGTTAGTGTTTTGTTACTTTTAACTTTTAACTAGCATTAGCAAATCTTTTGCTAACCTTTTGCTATATTTTAGCTACTGTTTTAGTCTTTGCTTAGCTTTTTGCAATGTTTAGCTTTAGCTACTGTTCCATTAATTATTTCCAACCTTTTGCTACTTCTAGTAGTGGCATTTGTTGGCCTTCTTTTAACTAGTTTTCTGTTACTTTTAGCTTTTATCTTTTGCAGCTTTTAACATTGGGATAACATTCTGCTACTTCTAGCAAACCTTTTCTTACGTTATCAAGCAAATTTTTCCTTTAAGCTTTTAGCTAGCCTTTTGCTACTTTTAGCTGTTTGGTGTGCCTAGTGTTTTGCTACTTCTCAGTTTTAGCATTTTGCTTCTTTATATTCTTCTGTTTTTCAGCATCAGCAACTCAGTTTCAGTTTTTTCAGCTGTCATTCAGCGCTCAGGGTTCAAACTGTATTTTTTACAGAAAATGCACTTCCTCTGATTGTTTCTGACTTTTTGATACGGACAGTTTCTGTTGACAGATTTTGATCCAAATGAGAAAAACAAGAAAGGGAAAATGACAGAAGAGGAACGAAGTGAAGACCTGGGACAAACCTTGGAGCGGCTTCAGCTGTCTTCAGAACGGTTGGAAAGCTGCTCACAGGAGAAGCTCAGGAGCGAGGCAGCTGACAGGTCGGTATGTAACAACGCAGAATAAAAAACGACATCTTTTGATCAAGTTTCAGGAGGAACCTTTCATGTTCGCTCCGTGGAGATTTTAGCCAAACTTTGCTGACAGGGCCCCACTGACTGAACGTCATTTCTGTTTGCAGAGACTTTTTTTTTCTAATGGTGAGTGTCTGTTGTTGACTGCTGCAGAGTGGAGGAAATGCATGGAGCAAAAAATTCAGCTTTAAACTGACATGTTCCTGTCTGTGCAGCTTAATCAACTAAAACTCAGTGAAGTTTAGCAGAATGTTGATAAGACACACAAAGATTCATCTAAAAGAAAAAAAATGATAAAGTTTACAAATGCTTCTCATAAATCTGTTGCTAACAGACAAACATGGCTTACTCAATAGTTAATGCCAACATTTAAAGCAAAGTGTAGCACTTAAAATATGTTTTCTGAATGACTCTCAGCTACCACCACACCAAACTTTAGCTCAACATCAATACAAATAACTCACTTACACCTGTTTATTTTGAATTGGCCCCTACAGTGAAAATAGTATCCTCATTTCCCCTGCTGCAGCGGGCGATAATAATCATCCATGTGGATTTAATATTACGATGTTTAATTGTTGCTCGGCGTGGCTCAGGGTATAAAAGTGCTGAACTGTTCCATGTGTTAAAATGACTTGTTGCAGGGTCCCGCTGGAGCTAATAAGGCGGTTCGTTTTCACCCTGTAAGTCCCCTGAATTGGCTGAAATGACTGATTTACARCTGACACGCTGAACAAACTCACATAATTATATATGAACTGGATGGGAGTTTTATACGGCTGCTCTGAGTGAAGGGTGGAACAAGTTCGAGTTTGGGCCCACGTTTATAAAATCTCACAGGTAAGAGCCCAGAAATCTGTTCTGGCTCGTTGCAAAATACTCAGATCTGCCTTGGGTTGGTAAACTTGAAGTGTTAAAAGTTTAATTCAGATTAAAAGTCTTGGTGTGAAAGCATAGATGCTAAAGCCAAAGAATAACCATTTAACTCACAGTGTCAAAYGCAGATCTATATTTAATATGAGGCATTGTTGGTTACCTTTGGTYATCTTTGTCTTCCAGAAGAAGGCGCACCTGGACCAGTCCTGGACCAGTTCTTCTGTGTCTGTCTGTGTCTCTGTCCTGTCCCTCAACCAGCCAGTCGAGGCAGATGGCTGCCTGTCCTGAGCCTGGTTCTGCTGGAGGTTTCTTCCTGATTAGCAGGGAGTTTTTCCTCTCCACCGTTTTCTCAGGATGGGAGACTGTGATGAAGTGATTCAACACAATCTGCTGGTTTCTTCTTTACATTGTTCTTTTTATGTACACTGCCCTGAGACAACGTATCTTGTGACTTGGCGCTATATAAATAAACTTGAACTTTATGTTACAGTGTGAGTTCAGTCAGTCATTTCTGCATGGGTATAATTTTTGGGGTGGGGAGGCATGACCCCCACAATAATTTGATCCAGTCAATATAAGCCCCCCAATAAAACTACATCATTTGATCTGTACACAGCTGCACAGCATCGGGTAAATTTGCTAAATTAAGAAATTTAAGTATATGTAGCATAATACATCCTAAACATGCAAAATATTTGTTACTGTTGGAATAAATGAGGAATAAAAGTAAACCTTTTCTTAATTGTTGAACTGGTGGGAACACAAAAGGTGCAAAGGGACAGGAAAGTTAAGTAAATCACAGTAAAAGCATTACAATTCATTTTAATCCCAAAATATCCTGAATCATTGTATAACAGTCAGTAAATGAATCAATAAATAAATAAATAAATAAATAAATAAATAAATAAATAAATAAATAAATAAATAAATAAAGAGGGAGTAGAAACCCCTCCCTCCCCAACAGAGGATTTTGGTGCCACTCAGAAACATCACCTGTTAACACGTRCACTGACATATTTACTGCTGATGATGATTCTCCTTGTTGTTGTTAAATGTTTTCCATTTTACAAAATGTCTGGATGAAMATAAAAACAGATTGAAGTTTTTTTAAGCTGTCAAGCAGCTTTCAGTCTACTCATCACCTGCCACAAAAAGACAAAGGTGATATTGATTTTGACAGTGTCTGTGTGCATCTTTGTTTGTATAATTAGCAAAACCCCTGGATAAATTTTAATGACGCTTTCAGAAAGTGATCACTGGACAGAATCATTCCTGCTCAAAATGGCCACTGCAGCTCAGTAACTATACTTAATTAAATACTCTATTATTTTACAGATATTGAGCTAAAATTGCTTGTGTGTGTGCGTTTGTTCTGAGTCACCCTCCATTGTAAAATATACAGGAAAGTTTCAGAGCACAGAGCTCACATGAACTGGATCCAACTTAATGCATRTAAAGTCAGTGTTTGGTAGATTATTTCTTTGTTGTAACATTACATCTTGGCAATAAATTTTATAGCAGGCACCTGATTGGCACCTGTGGAGACCAGAAGCTTTAAACAAGTAGCAACAGTAAAATAAGCTGTTTGGCAGAGAAGATCACAAATATTTCATGTGTGCAACCCACATACTCAGCTTCACTGCTAACCCCACATGATGCATGCATGATCCTTACACATGTGGCACCATTTAAAGGGGGTATTAGGCTTTCCAACAATATAAGATTTATTGTCAAGAATCATTGTTATAGAAATAATCTACCAAACACAATTATCCTTAGCCTACTTTTTGTGGAGTTTATAGACAGAAATGCACCAGTTTTGTTTACATCAGCAGAGTTTTCTAGGTTCAGATTTAGAGCTTGTTGCAGGTTAAACACATTTCTAAAGGAATCCCTGCATCTTTACAGTCACAAAATAATTATGAGACATTGGAACCGTGCTGTGAAGCAATCCAAACACGATTTTTTTGTTCTGAGTCCAAACCGAGACAGAGAAGAGTTACTGTTTGTGAGCGAGAAAGTGAAAAAAGACTTTAGATGTTTTGTRAAAAGCACAATGTCACGTGGATTGCTTTCACATGCAGGATGAAAAAAAAAAAGAACATGGGGTCTGTCCTGAGAGGCCCTCCTCAAGCAGCCTCCAACCTGCAGGCAGGGAATAACTTCATGTAACTGTAGATTTTCTTCTTAAGTACCTGCCAGGGAGTGTTTCCATGCAGACCTTCTGCTGACAGAAAACAAAGAGTTCTGGGATTCTGTGTGACTAAAGAGACACGACTACATAAATGAGATTAATGCAGGCTGTTATCCAACCCGTCTATAACAAACACATAGCTTTATATTCATGACAGAGTGTGGATTAAATGTAATATTATACCACACTGTGTGTTTACAGGGACTCACTGAAAACTATTAAATCAATTTTATTCTGAACCATGTCAAACCATGCCATTTAATACAGTATAGTTTTTCATATATTCAGTTGYGAATTGCGGGTCTGCTTTCATTGTAAACAAACACATGTGAGATGGGATCCAGACACTAATGCTGCTAAATAATTTTTTATTTTAAATCCGCATAATCCATCACTATAAGAAAAAAAATTGTSAATTTGCTTGTCTTTTTGCGGGTCTGCGTCACTTTGCAGTGCGTGTCTTTAATTCCCCGCACCGTGGAGCTGAATTTATGGATTTACAGACAGGTACTTGCAGGGCTGAGCGTCCTAACGAGGATTGAGTTTCATCTTGGCTCCGGCCCGGACGCTCCGCCCGCTCTCGCCGAGGATATTGACTTTCCCGCAAGTTAAAGTATTTAAATGTGGAGGGAGACAGATGCTGTGCGCGCACCGGAGGCAACCGCAAGAAACACGCGTGTGGGCGGAAGGTTGAGGCTGGGATTTTATCTGCACGTATAGAAAGAGAGAAAGAGGGGGGAGAAACAGCTGCAGCATCAGTGTTTGAGCTTCTTCCTCTTTTTTTTAAAGCGGAGTTTGTCAGATTCCATCTGTGTCACCGAATGATGCGTAAAGCTCCGCGCGTAAAGATCCCCAACCCGTCAGCGCGAGTCATCGGGGATTTATTTCCTCTTTATTTTGACACAAAGAGGATGTGATGGTTTAGTGACAGCGAAGAACTTCAAACTTGGATCCACCTTGTCAAATCTGCCCAACTTTCCGTTAATTCTGCCAAAGTGGAGAGCAGACGGGATCTCTTTCTATGCGTAATACAAGGGGGTCTAAAACTGAACTAAAATCCCCACATTGGAGAACTTTAACATTTCTGAGAGCTTTCGGCACAGRACAATTCGAGTCTTCATGAAGCAATATTTGAACTACTACAAGATGAGGCTGAGAGCATCGAGGTTAGGTTATCTGTAAGTAAGAATAAAAACTATTTATTTGTCCGAAGTGTGATTTTATGGCAACACCTTGGACTCATTCATCGTTTTCTTGTTTTTTTTCCTGCAGGTTCCTTCAGTTCACGGCGCTTTGCTTTTACGCACAGGTAACCCTCCGTTTTTACTCACACACGTCCACGTTGTGTAAAAAGTTTCAAATCATTTGTGTCAAATATAAAGAGGGGCACTTTGCTTAACGGCTCGCGGCCCTCCAACAGGCTGCCATAACAATGAAAACATTTTATGATGGGGAGCTCTGGCGATTGGCAACAATTCAAACATCTTGGAAAAATGTTAAGCTGCAGCATAAAGGTGATTGTTAAAACACATGTGGCCGGAGGAGGACGGCTGAAATGAGGTGGAGAGGAGGGGAGGAAAAAAAAGAAAAAGAAAAAAGAAGAAGTCATGAAAAAGGTGAAAGATCACCGCTGGTAAAAACAACCCATCTGAGTGAAATGTCATCTCCGAGGGTCATTGAACGCATCTTCAAAAAAACAAACCAAAAAAGTAATAAATCAAAAAAAAAATCCATTTGATTGACAGATTGTTTTCAAAAAGCACTAAAATAAAAATAAATGTGACTCTTAGGTGTTTGCTGTCCGACAGAACTCGGCGCAGTCTCCTCCGAACTTTAAGCAGCATGTGACCGAGCAGAGCCGGCTGTCGGACCGGATGAGCCGCAGGCTGACCCGAACCTACCAGCTGTACAGCCGAACCAGCGGGAAACACGTCCAGGTTCTGGCCAACAAGAGGATCAACGCCAACGGGGACGACGGGGCCGTGCACGGTAGGGAGCAGTTTAAATTCAATTAATTAAGCAATTATCGCGAGATTGTGTCCTGTAATTATCAAGTAAAGTGTTGACATAAAATCATTTATAATAACATAGTCAGGCAAAGATCTTTAATTCTCATTAAAGGGCTCAAATTTAGCACCAACACCTAATGTCACATAATGTTAAACTTTAACTWTTAAGTTTAACTCTGCTTGCTAACAAAATATCTCATGAACCACTGGATGGTTTTTAATTAAGTTTTGGAGTCAAAGTTCAAAATGGCAGCCAAAGCCATCTGATTTTACAAAACACAAAATGAGTAAAAAATGTTTTACAGATTTAAAGTTCAAATTTGGTGTGGTGGTAGCTGAGGCTGATCCCCAACACGTGCTGTGAGCACCACATTTTTATTTTATTTTTATTTTTTTTTAGGAAAAATTCCTCAAGAGCCACTGGTCAAGTTTTAATGAAACTCTTATACATACTGATTAAATTCTGAAGTCAATCTAATTCAGCACGGCGACCACAACTAATCTACATTTGCCAACATGAAAACAACTCTAACAGAACAAATTACAGCTAAGTAGTATAGCTGAGATTAAACACACTGGAGATGTGTGTCTGAGATTAAAACTCTGTTATGAAAGGCAGCGAGCGATATGCAGTCCTGGAAGGAATCCTAGGCCTCATGAAATGTGGATTCTTATTTCAGAGGTCTCATAAAATGTGAAAACATTTTAGTGGAATTAGTTTAAACTCACTGCTGAGTGGTGTTGAAAAGGCAAAATAAATGTTGAAGGTTTTTTTTCCCCTTTTGCCAGCTCATCGTTTGAGCCAAGAGCAACGGTTGTAGGAGCTGTGAACATTGTTTCAGCCTCACAGAGGATTTATTTCTTCAGGAAGTCGATGGTTTAACTCCTCCACACCAAACAGCAGCATCTTTCCGTCTCTGCACCACCTGCCTCCTGAACCCGTTTCTGCTGCTTTACRACTGGAGTTGTGACTCAGTTAATGAGGAGCGGTGAAGTCAGCAGCTTCACCTCTCCTGAGCATGTTTTTTTTCCTCTTTAAACCTCTGGACTCACAGAGCGAGTTTGCACACATCTGAAGTGGGTGTCGCTCTTGCAATCGGCCCAACTCCGACAGTTGCACTGCGCGACACGACCACGACGTCCTCCCTSTTCATCCCGTCTGAGCTGCACCTCTGCACGCCATTTAACACACATTCATCAGCCCCCCCGTGCAAAATCCCTATCATTTGATGCTATTTTAAACAGCCTCAAAGCTGGGTTCAAAGGGTTAGGAGAGAATTGTGTTTTAAACRACTGATGATTATTTATGGTTGATTAAAATCCAATTAATGATTCATTACAGAAGTAGACTGATTAATCAGACAACAATGGCCACTTTTACATAATCAGCCATAACTGTGCAAATGCAATTAATTCTAAGAGACTAAAGATGCAGCAGCTGCTACAACCAKCTCACAGAGCACACATTTTAGTTTCTTTGAGCAAGATTGTTTTTCAGATATTAGCTCTTTTATTTACAGTTCACAGGGTGGTTTAAGAAGAGCTGATGCACTTTTGTTTCAACARAGACAAATTATAAATAATACTGATCAGGAGCTCCTCAAAGTTTATTGTAACTTCAGAAGTCTGAAACTGTCAACATCTCATGACTCAAACTTTGCAGTTTTAATCAATCATTGCTGCACAGACCACAAGTTGGTCTCACATTTTTTTCTAATTTAATTAAAATAGAGTCTAGTCTTTCAATAACGAAGAACTTTTAAAGGGTTGTAACAACAAGAGAGAAAAGTTAAAGAAATAGAATATCAGCAAAACAAAATGCAGTATTATAATATTAAAATCAATGTTACAACATTAAAAATAAAATAAAATGACCTCAAATTTAGAACCTGCGGGATTGAATTCATGAAGAGRTTTTGCAGCAGACCTCATGATGAAGCAACCCGGCTTCAGTCTTCAAACAGGAATGTTTACAAACCGTCATGGTTTAGTAAAACTAACGCTGACTGAAAAGCTGTGAAAGAAAATCTGCATCAAACTAAACAGAAATCCACCATCATTATTGTGTTAAATAAAAAAATACAGGTTGCAAAATAAAAAGGATCAGAGCTGATGTTGTGTAGAACTCTGGTTGATTTTTTTGTTCTGCCAGTCTCAGATTATCATCTTTTTATTAAGTGTTTTAGTTTTGTTTTGTTTTGCAGCTAAACTGGAAGTGGAGACGGATACTTTTGGGAGTCGTGTTCGAATTAAAGGAGTGAAGACAGGATATTACATATGTATGAACAAGAGGGGGAAGCTGATTGGGAAGGTAAGGCATCCGCAGCTCAATAAAACTGTTGTTTTAGCAGGTTTGCAGCTTTTAGCAGCTGAAGTTTGTTTCCTGCAGATTGTCTTTAATCTTACATTCAATAAAGAGCCGCATAAATCTGTTTCACCTGATGACGAACCTGTTTTTCATCAGTTCATCATTAGTTATGACTTTGTATATGAATAGTTAATGGGTTTGTCGCCCTWATTTCCAAGTGCTGCCAAGATTTTATTACCGTTTTCTTTTCTTCCCAGCGAAAAGGACGAGGCAAAGACTGCATCTTCACAGAAATCGTCCTGGAAAACAACTACACGGCGCTCCAGAACGCCAAGTACGAGGGCTGGTTCATGGCCTTCACGCGTAAAGGCCGCCCGAGGAAGGCGTCGAAAAGCAAGCAGCACCAGAGGGAGGCCCACTTCATGAAGCGCTTACCGAGGGGCCACTTACTGAGCGAGAGGAGGCCGTTTGATGCCCTTCCTCTGCCCGTCCCCGTGCAGCCTTTCAGCAAGCGGACTAAACACTCCCACCACCATCAGCACTCAGGGGGACGCTGAGGGACCGCAAACCGCTGAGGGGGAACGGCAGACGACCCAGCGCTGAAGAACCCACTTCAGGAGAAAAACACGAGCTTCGGGAGGGAAATTTASCAGAACACTCAAGTGCCCGTACACTTTTTGCCTCATTTGTGGATTTATTCTGTAATCTTATATGTAAACTATCTAATCTGTTAGTTATTTTCTACTGAGCCCGCGAGGGGACATGGGGGATTTTTTTTTCTTTTTACGTTCCCATGCAAAACTATTGCGTTACCTCGCAATACCTTTTGCATTCCCTCGCAAAAGTCGTTAAACACTGTTGTGCCTGCCGGTTTATTAAAAAACTCACATGTTCACCATTAGCGAGTTAGCCTACTGCTTTAATTCAGCTTCAGAATGAATATATCACACAGCCACGCATGGACGTATGTCATTTGCTGATATTTTAACACAGTACAGACACGCAACATCAATGTCAATTTCACGAACTTGTGGAGACACATCCTGTTTTGGTAACCGGATATTTCAAAATAAAAGTCTGATTTAATTCAGTTCATAGACAAAACAAACTTTTGCGTGGGAACTCAAAACTATATTGCGAGGTAGCGCAAAAGTATTGCGAGGGAACGCAAAGGTATTGCGAGGGAACGCAAAAGTATTGCGAGGGAACGCAAAAGAAAAAAAAATCCCCATGTCCCCTCGCAGGCTCTGTAATTTTCAGACCGTAGGAAGGTTTTTGTTGTTGTTCTTATTAAATCAGGGCGTTTTAAGTCTGAAAAGCTCAACAGTCGTTTCACTTATGGTTAGACGTTAGCCAGCTCAGCAACAAAGAATGTTTAAACAAAAAAGAGAAATAATGAAGCTAGATGTGGCAGCTATCTGTGGTTACAGCATCTGAGTGTCAGTTCACGTGCTAACCTGTTTGTTTTTCTACATATATGAATATATTTTTACTGTAAAAATGTAAATTGCATCAAACGATGGGAGTATTTATTGTAGAGTGTATATTAAAATCACTAAACAATTCGATTTTCTCCTGCTTGGCTGCTTCGACTGCAAAGTCGCAAAGTTGGTCGCTCCGAGAAATGTGTCGTTTTCTTTTTCTTTTTGTTTCTTCGTCTTCCTCGAGCTGAAGACCCAGATAACTGAGGGCCAATATCTGTGACAGGCTCCTGAATTCAATGTGCTCAGCAAGTGAGACTCGGGCCTGAATGGGCCGAGCTATGCGTTAAAAGCGATGAGGTCAGCCCACCATTTTGGCCCAAACAAAGGTTACCACCATGTAGTTGCATTTCTCACGATCGCACACCGTAACCCTCTGATCAAATGGGCCCTTTGTGGGACCCCATATAAAAGGGCATGTTATACAATAGTGGGTTCGAATAATAACACGAGGAGGGGTCAGTTATCAAAAAGAAGCCAGTCACACAGGGAGGGGTGGGGGGTGCCAGCATCAGGGCCTGTGTGGCAAACTGTGGCATCAAGTGAAAGAGGGGGGAGCGGCTGGGAGGAGGCACTCTGGGATGAATGGGAGGCAGAAAAGAAACTCTTCCCAGAAGCAGCTGAGCATGACCAGCAGAGGCCAAACRACAGGGAGACTCCTCCGCTCTCACCAAACATGAGCTGGATGGCCAATTTGTTGCTGCTTTCACCCTTAAAACTGTGAATTATGACAAAAAAACATGATCCCAAAAATGCTTGATTTATTGAAAACACTTTCCAAAATGAATTGTTGAAGTTTTTAGACATTTAAAATCAACACAGCTGCTCCAAAAGCCAGAAAACATCCATGGTCAAATAAAGTGGATGCATTTTTGTCACTTACAGAAAAAAAAAAATGTATCAAGTGAGTCCCTCAAAAGAATTTTCAAAACAACAATGCTGACTGGTTTGAAATGTTTTCTCTCCATCTGGAAGAAGACGAGGAACAATGGTGAGAGGGACGTGTGGTTTCTGTCCCTGCTTTCTGCACTTGCTCTCTGGGTTTGGACAAGCGGGACAAAAATGCAAGGAATCACACGGATGAGACGATCTATTTTTAAATGTCATTGTCCCGTTTGAACAGCAGCACTCTCAGCTTTAATCCTCTGCTAACAGGACAGTCCTTCTTTTAATTAAAGCTGATCAGGAACAGACTGCTGTTACTGTCTGAATGCTGACTCAGCGTTTTGCCTGTTTTCAGTTTCTTCTGAGCAATCAAACAACTTCTACACACTCTGTGCTTTTTAAACCATTCATTTATCAAAACATGCAGCTCAGAATGGAATATTGTGCTTTGTCTTGATTTTTTGTAAATTTCATACTTTTCACAATACGAGACTTTATTTTAAATATTTCCTATAGATTAACACAGAAATCCCAGTTCTTTCAAACCAATATTATTTTTAAAGTTACTTTAGCACATTTATTCAATTTTTGTCTCTTCGTGCTGCTTTTACACAGTTTTGTTCATTTTAAATTTTAAGTAAAGTTTTCATTACACTAGCTATGATTTATCCAATTTTAGCTTTTATTTAAAGTTTAGCAAATTTCTGGTTTTGGCTACTTGTGTAAATTTTAGCTTTTATTTACAGTTTTGTTTATTTTTGATTTTAGCTAAGATGTTGCTAATATTTTTTTAGCTAACGTTTTGTAAATTTTAGCCTTTATTTACTGTTTTGCTAATTTTAGTATTAGGCTACGGTTTTGCTCATTTTAATTTAGCTGCAGTTTTGTTAATTTTAGATTTTTGCTACAATTGCTAATTAGTGCATTTCATTGTTCTGCTTAATTTAGCTTGTTTTATCTTTAACATTTCAGCTCTTTGAAGAATTTTCAACGCAGCATTCACTCTGTATTTTGACAAAAAAAGGCTATTTCTCTGACTTTTTAATAGTTAAACAAACCTGAGATGTAAAATGTTAAACCAGATCATAAATTCTAAGCAAACTAAAACAAAAAATTGACATATTTAAATGCGTTTCTAAAACCGCATCTTGGATTTTGGAATATGTGATGTTTCAGGATATTTAAGTCAGATGTTAATAGGGGAAAAAAAGCAGCTTCAGTGATGCTTTCAGGGTGGCCAGCAGCAGCAGGAGGAACATGAGGGGATTCATTTACCACAAATGAGACGTGTTTGTAACTGTGACCTCGGAACGAACAAGGATRGAGCTTTGTGTCGTTTGAGTGTTTTACAAGGACATCAGTGAAAAGAGAGCGGTGGGTTAGGTGACCCTCCTAGTGCCCCACCACCACCAGGGAAATAAAAAAGCACCTTCAAATAAAAACTACTAATAAAATAATATAAAGGAATTTGTCAGATAATTGGTAAAATTGGACTTTTAAAATAAGTTTTTCTTACCTGTTAAAAAAACAAAAAAACAAATTCTACAAACTCATGAATAAAAAAGTATTGTTTCTTATTTTATTTAGATCTACAGGCATTAAGAACTGCAGAGAAATATTCACCACAATAAAAGCATCAAACCAGAGACAAGGCACTGTGAGTTTTTCTGTCTATGGAAAACTAAACAAAAGCTTCCAAGTGACTGAAAAATGATGCTGAGTCTCCAAATCTTGTTGTTCTCAGTCAGAACTCACTGAGTTTTACAGTCAACGTCTCCTTCGTCTGTCCCCTTCAGCTCCTTCAGCTCCTTCAGCAGCTCCTGCTCCAGCCTCAAGATCTCTGTGGGTTTTTTGTACTGAACAAACCAGAAGAAAAGAAATCAGCCATTTTTGTGCTTCATCTCTCAGTGTGTTCATAGCAATAATTAAAAAGTTAATAAACAGGAAAAAACAGTCATTTAAATGTAAAAGAAAAAGTAGAATAAAAGAAAATCTGTAAAACTTTGCACTTATAATTTACATAAAGGGCTTCGTGATGATATGGATGGTGGGTTTAAGTAGGTTTGGAGCCTAAAAGTCTTTATTTATATGATTTTGTAATGATTTCCTTATACAAATGTGGCTGTGTTTGCTGYTGCGTTCATGCTTACAGATTAGAACACAGCTCAAAACCAACAGCAGCTCTTAAATAAGAAAAAAAAATAGATTCTTCACAGACTTACGCTGACAATCAGGGTGTTGTTGGAGTGTGTGAAGCTGAGAGCGGAGCCATCGAGCGGCAGCTGGCTTCGATCCAGGTCAGGRATACAAAACTTCTTATAATATCTGAGAGAACATGAAAAGAAAGTCACACAGATGGAGCTCGCAGACAAATACAATGTGAACAGCGCCATCTTTAGGAAATACATAAGGACTGCATGCAACAAGTGCACACAAGTTTACTTTTTATTTGAGGTTTTTATGATGATGCATCTGTCAGACGGAACCGCTGAAACACTGAAGACTTCTTTAGGGTACGGAAGGTTATGGATTCTCCACTGAAAGCTGCTTTTTGTGTCTTTACGCATGAAAATAGGCTGCAGAGACAGAACAAAACACACATTTATTACTAAAGATGCAATGAATCAAATGTCAAAATTAAAAGAAGACTGAATAAACTCACATTGGATGAGCTCTCTTTAATCTCATCCGAGTCCAACGATGCAGTAAAGTTGAGCGGCTCCCCGACTTCTACCTCCCAAGAGCTCTGACCTCCAAGTGTGCTTTTATGCCGCCACTTTCTTACTGTAACACACACACAATGGGTTAAAAGTCACAAATGTATAAAGCTAATTTGTAAGAAACTTATTTCCTTCAAAAACTGGGAAMTGGATGCTCACCAATGAGTTCATCTGTTTTCATATCATACTCTTCAGCCATTTCTTTGCCATCTGTAAAGAGGTAATGGATCTTCCGTTTTCCTGGAGGTGAGATTTGTAAACATGTTACGAAAAAAAAAAAGAAAAAGAAAAGCTAAAGCAGTTAAATGTCAAATATTACTGGTTTTGTTCAATTGGAAAAAAAACCCCAGGTAAACAAGTAAAAGCTGCTGTCTGTAGTGAATGAGTATTGTATGTAAAAGTCTGTTTAACCTAAAAACACTTATCTACATAGATGCAAAATAAAGATTTTTAAGGAGTAAATTGTACAACACAGTATACTGCACTCTTGTGGTCAAATGTGAGAAAAGAAAATCTTGAATTTGCCAAGAAAATAAAATAAAATAAAATAAAATAAAATAAAATAAAATAAAACCATCATATTTGTCACTGCTGTACAAATAAGTACTAACATTAAACCACTTAATAACAATATATTAAATGCAATAAAAACTTACAAAACAAAACACTGGAAGTTAATAGGATGTATTTATTTATCTTTCTGTCAAATGATACTAATGGGGATGTGGACATAACAGCACTTTCTGTTTATCTAATGCAACAAAATGGAAGACTGTCACCTGTTCTGATCTTTAAATTATAATAATTATTAATACAAAACGAAATAATTATAACTGGATACATTAAAGACTGCAATATCACTGAAAAACCTACAGCACTTTGTTCAATGCTAATCGCATTGTACAGTTTTAGTATAACTCATGACATGATGCCAGCACGCCTGCTGTCTCTCCATGATGCTCATGTTGTTGTTAGCATGTAAGTTAACACTTGGCTTCAAAGACAAAGTAGGACGGTAATTGCCAATTAAAATTATACCTCGTTATGAAATATGACTTATTCCATATTTAATCATGTTGTTTTACGTACCGTCATGTATTAGCGCTGTTTTCTTTGATAATTTCAGGACATCTATCCATTTTTGCACAGCCATGTTTCCTTCAAAGTTGGACTTCCGGATTCAGCAAGTTACCATAGCAACTTATATTAATGCTAACACTAAAACGTGATTTAAAACATTTTAGACTGGTCTAAATATAGTAATATAAAAAAATTTTATTTTAATATGTATATTTAACAATTTGTATTACATAATACGATCAAAATCTGAACGGAAATGTTTGACCCGGAAGTGAAAGATTTTGTATTTCCTGTTTGGCTCCTGCATGGCTCAATGTAAACAAAGGTAAGTGCAGAGCTTTAAAGTTTAAAGTCTCAAAGTTTCAATTATATTTTATAATATTATAATAAACATAAACTTGGTCTAAATATTGTAAAACCTTTAAAAAAATGACACATTTTAAACAAAGATTATTCGATGTTTTCTACGTGAACTTGAGCTTAGTTAGCTACACTTTGATTAGCATTTATGTTAGCTCACTTATATATATTAATTTAAACAGATCACCTCACCATGTTTTTATGATTTCGTAACATAAATTCAAAGCTCAATCTGGTCTCATTTTATTACATATTAACCAGTATACAGTAAACATCAAGGTGATGGTGCAAAACTTGACAGTCATGATGTTTATTATTACCATCGTGGAAACAGATTTAACTAATGCAACTAAGAAAAATACCACAGTGSATTGTGTAGAGTTGCAAACTGAAAATTGTGATGTTACAACCAATAAAATTAAGAAAAATTGGCTGTTTTAGTAAAGGTTTGCAGGAACAAAGCAAAGATCAAAGAACTTGACTACTAATTTAGACTAYTGCATGCCTCTTTTATGTCACAGGACTTTGGCTCCTCACTTCAAACGATATGGAGTCTCATCATGGGATCATGAAAGCTTTTCCCAAAGTTAAAAGAGCTAGAGTCCTACAGGGAAAAGATGCACCCCCAGTGAAGAAGAAACCTGAGAAGCAAGAAGTCACAGGTTATTATTTTGTTTGTGTGTGTGCATTTATTAAAGCTAGAGAAACAAATTCAATAACAATTGATAGAAAAGGAACAACCCTCCAAAAATTTATGAAACATTTTTGTTTATCATATTTTTTTTTCTGTCTAAACTRCAGGGGATATTTTTAAAGGGACCACAGTGTACGTTCTACCTGCTGGAATTGGAAATGCCAGATGCCAGATCTTTCACAGACAAATCGAGCAGAATGGAGGGAAGATTGAGAGTTCACTGTCTCCCAACGTCACTCATGTTGTTGTGGATGACAGCATGGATGGGGACAGGGCTCTGCGCTTACTGAAAGTCGATTCTTTTCCCTCTGGAGTCCATCTGATGAAATGCACATGGTTGAGCTTGTGCATTAGTGAGAAGAAACTGCTGGATGTAGACCGCTACAGCCTTCTTTTACCYGAAAGGTTTGCTATCTAATCATCTTTTATAGTGCTTGGAATTTATTACACAACTTTTCTTCTGCATTGTACACTAAAACTGAGAAAAGAAACACGAGTGAAAGCTTGGCACATACATACCTACTTATAATTACACATAGGTGATTATTAATTTAGATTTTTTTTTCTATCAAGGAATTCAGAAACGAAGCTTGAAAAAGAAGAAAACAAATCTGATAATCTCAGTGCCACAGAGTCAGAGAGTCATCAAACCAAGCAAGACACGGTGGGTTTCCACGTCACAGCTTTTTTAATATGCTGCTGTCAAAAAACTAAAACTAACCTGAACTTATGGAAGCAGTCTGCGTTTGATCATCTCTGCATTTTTGTATTACGTAGCTTTCCCAGACAGTCCCAGAAAGCAAAGAAGAGGTGCACGCCAAAGAGGACGGTGTCACTCAAGGTGACCTGGAAGCTCTCATCACTGGTCAGCGCCCTAAAGAGGAGACCCCCAGCTCCAGCTCGAACCCCGGTCTGGATGCTGCTGCTGCTGCCGCCGAGAAACCAGTTTCAGGGAAGTGGGTCTGCGCCCAGTCTTCTCAGTCCAAAAGTAACAACTTCAACAAGCACATCACCGACAAGCTTGAAGTGCTGGCCAAGGCTTACACGAATCAGAGGGACAAGTGGAGGGCACTGGGTTACTCCAAGGCTGTCAACGCTCTGAAGAGCTACCACAAACCTGTCACATCATATCAGGTTACCAGACTTTCTGTAGAAACTTTGTAGTCCAGCTCAAGTATCTTAGTAAAATGTGTTTTTTTTTTGTCTTTTTTTAATAACTTTTTTGCCCAAACTGTTATTAGGAAGCATGTCAGATCCCAGGAATAGGAAAAAGAATGGCTGACAAAATTGAAGAGATTATGGAGAGCGGCCACTTGCGGAAGCTGGATTACATCGGAGAGGCTGTGCCCGTTCTGGAACTTTTCAGCAACATCTGGGGAGCAGGAGCTACAACTGCACAGCTCTGGTACCAACAGGTGAAAAAACACATGCGTGTTATATCTCAAGGCATGTGAGATACTAGAAACTCAACAAAACCTTGAACCATAATCTGAAATAAAACCAGCCAGAATAATAAACTCATGCTGACATTTTCTTAGTTTCACCGTAGTACAGATCATGTATGTGTCAAAAAAAATTGTTTAAAATCTTTTAAATATTCTTTGCTGTACATGTTTTTTCTCCTTCACCACAGATTACTGACAAATCGTTTTCTGGAAAAAAAAAATTAGTGAAACTCTGATTTTTTTTAAAGGTTATGTTTTATGAGAAAAACAAATATTTTAACAGTATACCACAGAGATGAGCACACACAATAATATATATTCTTGAAAACCTTTTTATGAATGAGTGTTTTGTGTTGCAGGGATTTCGCACTCTGGAGGACATCCGCACAAAAGCCAACCTGAACAACACTCAGAAAATAGGACTGAAGCACTACGACGACTTTCTCGACCGAATGCCCAGAGAAGAGGCGGCAGCTATAGAGAAAGTGGTAATGAATCTTCATTTTTCACACCGCGAGCCCATATTATTCGGTGATAATTGAAATAGCTTTGCCTMTTTCATCACTTCATTATGTTTTACCACTTTTATCTAGAGTTGAGATGAGKCTTCCTCAAACCGTTAATAATTTGGTAAATTGAAGCCCCGATAGGAAAGACTTTTAATGAAAAAAACAGACTGTTCACACTGAGTGAGGCATCCCAGAGAGGAAAAATAAATCTTGGAACTTGCTGCATTTGAAGTTAGCCAAAAACCTGTTCCTTTTACATCTGAGGCATGTTAGTTGTTTCCATATCGTATCACTTGGATTCAGTTTTTCCTCCAGAACTGTCAGATAGATTGCAGATGATCTAGATGACAAAAACATGTGCTCTGCCTCAGTATGTCAGAATAATATGTTTTGAAAGATTACCTCCTAGTACAGGGTTCTGCAACCTGATGCTCTGGGGCCACATGTGGCTCTTTGGTCCCTCTGCACTGGCTCTTTGAAAATGTGACCAAACATAACGGAATTTTTTTGTTTGTTTTTTATACTCAGAACAGAAATAAGCTGTATGCAAATATTTGATGAATACTACAAATACAAAAAGTAAAACCTGTTGTTTAGCTAATGCCAGCCAAATAATCCAACTTCTTTCCATGATCTTTCTCTCAAATCAATCAGGGTTATCTTTAAACAGCTTTAAGACTACATAATAATGAAAATTTAAAAATAAAATGTCTGAATATTTCAGTTGTACTAGTTTTTATCAAATTCAGTATAAACTATATATAGTATTTTTCTTGTCCATGAATGTTTTTCTTTTGTCCTGAAGTGTAAAATATAAATAAATAATAACATTCACAAAATATATATGTTTTTTGTTTTATAATGTCACCTCCACTGGCCGTAAAGGTTCACAAAAGGGCCTTGAAAAGGCCCATGGACCACCAGTTGATAATCACAGTTGTAGCTTATTTTGTGGCTCTGGACACATTTTATTAGCGAGCCGAGGAGCAGAAATGGCTCTTTTGATTGCAAAGGTTGCAGACCCCTGACCTAGTATGTGGCTGGGAAATGTTAAAAATAAATGTTTCCTAGTCGAGGGAACATAAGGAAGAGAATGATCAAGATGAAAATGATTTTTAAGAACATAAGCTGCAACTGAATAAACTACAATATTCTTTGGCCAATCAGAGTGTTTTRAATCAGGACTGGTTTTCATTCTGCGCAGGTGAGGGATGCTGCACAAGCTGTAGACGCAGGTCTTGTAGCGATGGCATGTGGCTCCTACCGCCGTGGAAAGGCTACATGTGGAGATGTTGATGTGCTCATCTCTCATCCTGATGGCAAGTCCCACAAAGGAGTTTTCAGCAAAGTGTTACAGCTCCTCCACGACAGTGGTAAGCTCTGCTTTTTTTCCCCCTTAAGTGCAATATATTTAGATTTCTTTTATAAAAGCTGTTAAAACCTTTTTGTTTTCAAGGGTTTTTAACAGATGATCTGGCGAGCCACGACGAGAAGGAGAAGGAGAAGGGAGAGCAGAAGAAATACATGGGTGTGTGCCGTTTGCCTGGACCCGGCCACCGCCATCGCAGGCTGGACATCATCGTGGTGCCTTACAATGAGTTCGCCTGTGCGCTCATGTATTTCACCGGCTCGGCGCACTTCAACCGGTCAATGAGAGCCCTGGCTAAGACGAAAGGCATGAGCCTCTCAGAGCACTCGYTGAACAAAGACGTGGTACGGCAGGGGAGCTTGAAAGTTTACGGAGGCACTCCACTTCCTACGCCGACAGAGAAGGATGTTTTTAGTCTTTTAGGCATACCCTACAGGCAGCCTCATGAAAGAGACTGGTGATGATTTCCCATTCACAAGGACTTTAGAGATTTTAAAAACTAAAAAGAATAATCATGTCCTAAACAAATCATGAAAATTCAAATATCCTCAAATGTAAATTTTAATGAAAAATCWTATCTCTAAATATCATTTAAGGGCCATGCTTGATTTGTCTGAATATTCAACACGTTAAAAAGCCAGGGTTACTCAAATAAAACTAGGCCTTTTTGAACCAGATTCTGAGGAGGCTCCATAATGTATTCACCTATAAACTTTGTTCTACATCCTCAGTGCTTTATAGGGAAAAAACATAATTTAGTTTTAGAAGCCCATTTAAACTAAAACACTACAACGACTTTTATAATGTCTTTAGAAGATCTTTAACTGTGGAAGTCTTAATTATGTAAGACAATGAACAGGAAGGTATCTACTAAAAAAAGTTAAGTAGCCTTTTACTGTAAAGACATAAATTTAGCAAGGTGCATGAACTACGTACATTTTAAATATGAAAATAATAATAAAATTACTCATTTGTGCCTTTCTTTTCTTGTGTTGTTTTCAGAATTTTAGTTTTTTATTTATTTATTTTTACTTGTTTGGAGTTCAGTTTCCTCTATTAACTCACCAGTAGGCTAGTCATGCACAAATAAATTGGGACCAAGCTTTACTTTTCCAGGCAAGGTTTTCTGATGCAATAGTTATTTACTCATTCAACTGGAAATAGTTGGAATGTCCCCTCGAGCATCTGAGTATCWTGCTCCCAAGTGATGAAATGAGAGGTGGATTGACAGATTTGGGCTTCATCCTCTGTGATCAGGGTATTGCTTTGGTCCGTCATAGTGAAGAAAGAGTTTAATTGAAAGCCAAAGCTCTTGATTTACTGGTCGTTCTAGCTTCCAACCCACACCTGGGGTCATGAGATACCGGATGTATCATGCCCGAAAGAACGAGATTCTGGATAAAAGTAGCCAAAAAAAAAAAAAAAAGCTGCTACAAAAAGATGGCCAGGAGGAGTAACTTAAAGTAGACCCACTGTTTCTTCATATCAAAWGTAGTCAGTTCGGGTGCTTTGTGCATCTGATTAGGATGGTACAAGACACYTTTCCTCACTGGTGTGGGAACACCTTGGGGCCCCCAGGAGGAGCTAGCACTCCTGGACCTGTTGCCTCTACAACCTAATAAGCAGTAAAATATGGAGATTTTACAAAAATAAATGCATAAAATATGAATAACAAGATTCTTTAAAAAGGTTTATTAGCCATGTTTTTGCACTTCAAG